ATATATATATATATATATATACACACACACACACATATACATATACATACACACACACACACAGTATCATAGAACTACATGTCCAAATTATATGAAGGACCATGAATTAGCACTGCGCCTTCTCCTCGTGGCCCCCTGTGGACCATTTAAACCAAAGCGTAAAGAAGATGACCACACTTACCTGCTGTCTACTTTCCCATGTCATTAAACAGAACATTCTGGAAATATCATACAAGTGATCATCGCACACATAAAGCATCCATGACAAAAATATATACCTATAAATACACACACACACACACACACACACACACACACACACACACACACACACACCTTTAAACCTAACAAGTGTCATTTAAAATGTGACAGCATACATAGGAGAATGAATGTATGTTGAGGATCAGTGACCACACAAATGTGTGTCTTGCTTTCAGATCATATTCACATAGCAGGGATGAATCATACACACAGGGCATGTAATGTAATTAACATGGTATGTGATTTTAGAATAATCCAGACACTATGCTCCATGCATAGGAAGGCCCTATGATAAAACATGGGATGATCCCATTTTAAATCCCATTCTACCCTTCAAGATGACATCCATAGAGGAAGAAGAAATGCATGGTAAGTGTGATCCACATACACACACACGTATAGAGAGCGAGCTATTGGGCTCAGTGACAGCAAAGCAGTGTGTACAGTAAGAGAAGGTGATACATACAGGCAGGGCTGGGATGAATGAAGCAGGCTCTGCAGGGATAGCTGTGATCACTGATCGCTCATCCTCGTCTCCGGCTCGGGATGGCACTCCAATCGGGGTGGGGGTCACGTGTGTCCGGTTAGCTGCGCCCCATGTCACCCCTGTTGTCACGGCTGTACCATAACACAAGGACAACAAACGACGAGAGAGGGGAGCCGGAGGCGCTCGCTTGCCCTGCAGCAGGGGCAGCGGCTTGTGATGGGAGAGGGCGGGGACGGGTCACCAGAGAGGAGGAGAAGGAAGGAGGAGGAGGCAGGACGCAGGAATGGCAGCAGCACGGCCTTGGCTCCTCTCACAAACCCCAGTGCGGTGTGTGCAGTCAGCCAAGCAGGAGAGATGGCGGTGCGGTGTGCTGCCACTGTAGGAATGGAACATGGAGGAATGAAAGGAGGCGGACGGCTTTTTTTCTACGGTGCTATGTCCACCCCCCCTCCTCCTACCACACGGTGGTGCAGTCCATCAATCCGCAGTTCACTCCGGTACGGTTTATCTCCTCCTGTGCAGGTTGGGGAGATCGTGCTGTAACGTCACCGACAGCTCGCTCTGTACCATCCTATGGGGCGATCCGCTGCCACCGTGTGTGTGGGCGCCATCTGCAAGGCTGGAGATGACTTTGCTGGCATCACATCATTGGTGTTTATTTGGTGGGACATCGTGCACTGCCATGGTTTCTAGTCGGTCACGGTGATTAGATTGCTGGCACTGGAGAAGAAAGTGTCCCATGATCTACACTGCGTCACTGCTGTCATAAGGAAGACCCACGGTGCATTCACTGAACATACGCTAGTAGAATTTTGTTAGAAATACACTCCTTTTGGAATGTTAATTGATTTTCTAATACGTAAAGATATAAAAATAAATACATGCACACATATTAATAAAAGAATAAAAATGCACATTTATTTATTTTGCATTGGTGCCTGACATCAGTGGATTGTGGGAGCAATGCTCTGACTCCTGCAGATTCTCCTTCCCGTCCCTGTCTGTTCGAGAGTCAGCTAAGGAATGGAAAGAAGACAGTACATGTCCAATGACGCCACTGCACTTGTACGACATTGAGAACTACAAGTCCCTCTGCCGCCGCGGCGGATGGGACTTGTAGCTGCTCTAGTCACAGATCTTATGAAATGGATCTGTGAATGAATGATGAAAAAAGCCTGCAGGAAGAAGAACCCCAAGATTCAGGTAAGTGGGGGGTGGGGGTTAGGGGATGTAACAATGTTAAAGTCACAAATCTTTTCCTCCAACCCCCAATGTTGCTTTAAAGACTTACCTTAAGATCCGATCATCATCTTCCCTACAGCGCTGCTGCTGGTCTCTGATTCAGTACTGACTGCTGTGTCATCTGTGTCCCACAGTGTCTGTCCGATGTACATGCTCCCGCCTGCGTGAATTCACCTCCACTGTGTCTCTCCTCTTCTCCCCGCCAAAGATCTCTACTGCGCATGCCGCCCCATCATCCTTCACGGCCGCTTGAGAATCTTCAGACAGGATGGAGCGGCGGAGACACAGGTAAGTAGTTACCTATTTGGTAACTTTTTTATTTATTTTTATGTTTTTGCATATATGTACTGCTTGCTAGCAGAAGATATATACAAAAAAAAACAAGAGTTTAGTTCTACTTTAACGTTACACCCAGGGCCATCCCTATAATGAGGCAGCCTGAGGTGGTTGCTTCAGGCAGCATCTCATTGAGGGGCGACCGGGTGGTGGGTGGCCTTGGCCACTCTTAGCAACCTGTGATGGTCTGTCTCGTGTCCCACCCAGCCAAATGAAGTCACCGACTGGCAAGAGCTAAGCAGGATGCTCTGGCTTGCGTCCGGTTAATCTCCTGGCAACCAGTAACGTCAGTGAGCTAGACAGGATGCCTGACAGAGCGATCTGGCGTCCCCCACTGCCTTCATAATCCCCCCCGCAC